TTGGGATCAAAACTTAAAATTTCAATAAGATTTACTAATTTCAATACAAGATGATTCTAACCTAATTTTACAAAAGCTTAAAATGTGTGTACTAAACTCTATCAAGTTATACCTGTCCTTCATGCGACTGTACACCGTTTCCTTGGCCGCTGTAAGATAAATTATATCTTTTGTCACATTTTTAATTCAATAAGACTAAAAATAACGAGAACCTCTTTCGCACGTAAAGGACTTATTTCAAACTTTTTTATTGCGAAATTTTTAATGAAATTGCGATTTATTGAAAACGTGTGGTATTTGAAAAGTGAATTGATAAATTAAATGTAAATGATAAGGAATATAATCAGAATCGATGAGACCGTAAAAAATGTTTGTATCACTTTTCATTATTATTATTATTATTATTATTATTATTATTATTATTATTATTATTATTATTATTATCTCAATTAATTGAAATTCATCTAAATAGCATGCATATTTTTTTTTCAATTAATGCATTAAAGATATACATATCTTCATTTACTTACAAGATGGGCACAGCTGCCTCGCCTCCGACAACAAAAGTCCCGAGTACTAAAAGAAAGCATACGTCCATCGCGAGATGTCAGTTTTTGATTTTTGGTTTGCGAAAGAAGCCTTTTATAGCGCGTTTTCACCACTGCGTCAAATTTTAACCACTCCCGTTTCTTTTTCTCTACAATTAAGGATGATTCATTCTAACTTGAATAATAACAAGTCAATTTCATTTGAATATTCACATCCTAGCATATTTTAGATTGTTTATCAGGTAGTAGATCACTTTGACAACATTGAAAAAAGCAACAACACTTTGTACGGTCGATAAAATCTCGCTGACGTAAGTTTATATATATCAAATCACTCACTCGCATTTTTACTAGTTTTTATGTTAAATTGACTGTTACCATGATTGGCTGATTGCATGAAACGTCACGGTACCAAGTCTATCAACATCCGTGATTGACTAATTTTTAGTATATATATGCATTGCAAAAATATACCAAGGTAAACAACAAAGCTATCGCACAAATGCAACTCCACTTTATTTCAACAATTTGCAGCTGTTATTATTTCAAAGAATTTCAAACATTTATATAAAAAGTGCTTGTTTTAGGAAATCATTCGACAATAAATTTTATATCTCAGGGATGACATGCTTGTTAATAATCATACTTTAATAAAGTCAATTTAAATGAGGAAGTAATCTTGCCCTGCAATAAAACAAAATATTTTGGCCTATCCTACTTAATCGTTTAACCAAAAACTGCGTTAATATATATGACTAAATATGGTAGAATAGGTGATCTTTACGGTAAATGCACGTTTATTTCTAGCCAGGGGTCATCAACCATAGACTATTTATTAACAAAAGAATGTAATTTTTCGCTGATAAGTAATTTCAGTGTGCACGATTTGAATGCATGGAGTGATCACTGCCCTATTTCTTTCAATATTAATTGTAGTGAAACGTGTAAGTGTAAACATGGGGAACAAAATGACAATTTTGTTAAATATGTATGGTCCCCCGAACTTAGAGATAGTTTCAGGTCGAATCTTATTGGAAAATTACCAGTATTAAACGAATTATGTCATAATGTAGATTTAACTGATCGTTCTGCGATAGACTCTCTTTTATTAGGCTTTAACAATGTGATACAAGAAATTGCCAATCCGTTATTTTGTAAGAATTATAGTATACATAATCAGCCTACATTTATTGATAAATGTGTTGTTAAGGATAAGGAGTGGTTTGATAATGATTGTTCACAAGCTAAAAAGTTGTATATAAACGCATTAAATAATTTTAAAGTAGATAATAGTGTTGTAAATAGAGAGCAGTTGTGTTTTTTATAAAGCTAAATATAAGAATTTGGTTAAGAAAAAGAGACGTTTGTTTAAATTGAAAAAAGTTGAAAAAAATTGAGAGCTTACGATTTTCTAAGCCGAAAAGACTTTTGGAAATTATTTAAATGTAATAATAAAGTAAATCATGACATTTCATTAGATGAATTTTTTAAAGTATTTTTCAGAATTAGGTAATGATATATTCCAATCAAGTAATACGGAGTCCGAAGATTTTTCACGCAACAATGATTTTGAAAATTTAAATGGATCGGATGATATTTTAGATAAACGTATTACTGTAAATGAAATTTTGGAAGCAATCAAAACTTTAAAAACAAATAAATCACCTGGTATTGATTGCCTGTTAAATGAATATTTTATTGAATGTATTGATATTTTATCCTCGCATATTTGTGATATTTTTAATTATGTACTTGATAGCGGATATTTCCCAGATACATGGTCTGAAGGTGTGATAATACCGTTGTATAAAAAAGGTGATAAAAATGATGTTAATAATTATAGAGGAATTACGTTAGTTAGTTGCCTATCGAAATTATTCACATCTATTTTAAATAAAAGATTAATACAATATTTTGAAGAAAACCATGTTTTGTCAGATGCACAATTTGGATTTAGAAAAGGAAAATCAACCATTGATGCTTTATTTATTCTTATGACAGTTGTTCAAAATTATATAAATAATAATAAACGTTTGTATTGTGTTTTTGTATACTTTAGGAAAGCTTTCGATTGTATATATAGAAACGCGCTTTGGTTAAAATTAAGTAATTGTGGGATTAGGGGTAAATTGTTACGCCTAGTAAAAGACATAATTATATAGTAAAGTAAAATCGTGTGTAAGGTTATGTAATAGTTACTCAGAATTCTTTAATTATGCAGTAGGTCTACGTCAAGGGGAGGTAATTTCACCGATTTTATTTTCCCTCTTTTTAAATGACTTTGAATTATTTTTACAAAGGGATATAAATAGTGGTTTGACTTTAAACGATATTGTTTTGATTTTGTTACTGTTCGCTGATGATATGGTAATTTTAGGAAATACACCAGATGATATAAATAGAAGTTTGACGTTATTGAATGATTATTGTAAAAAATGGAGCTTAGAAGTAAATATTGATAAAACCAAAGTTGTTGTTTTCAGAAGACGTGGAGGTTTAAAAAACAATGAATTATTTTATTACGAAGGGAAACATTTAGATATTGTCGATAGCTTCAATTACTTAGGAACAATATTAACTTATACTGGTAGTTTTAGTTTAAATCAAGAACATTTGATTGGTAAAGCTCATAAAGCTCTAAATGTACTATTGATTAATTGTAATAGATATCAGTTAAAACCTAAAGTGTTATGTCAGCTTTTTGACTCTTTTGTTGGTTCAATTTTAAATTACGCTGCTGAAATCTGGGGTTTTACTAAATCAAAGGAAATTGAAAGACTTCATCTTAAATTTTGTAAAAAAATATTAAATGTAAAAGTTAATTCATGTAATGTTGCTGTGTATGGTGAACTAGCACGTTATCCTTTATATATTTCAAGATATGTTAAGATTTTAAGATTCTGGTTTAAAATGCTTGAGACAGATAATATCATTCTTAAAAATGTATATAGCATTGCTCTTGAAGACTGTAATAATGGTAAGACAAATTGGTTATCAAATCTTAAATTGTTATTATGTAATCATGGTTTTAGTGATATTTGGGATTTTCCAGATTCCGTAAATAGTAAAATATTTTTACCAATATTTAAACAAAGGGTAATTGATTGTTTTTTACAAAGTTGGCTTTCTGGTAAAGAGAGCAGTCCTGTTTTGTATCTGTATAATCATGTTAAAGATTCTTTTGTATATGAAAATTATCTTGATATAATACCAAGTACTTTAAGGAAGTATCTTACAAGAATTAGAATATCTTCGCATTCATTACATGTGCAAACTGGTAGGTTTCATAGAAATAGAATTGTTAGAAATGAAAGATTATTGTTTATATTGTAATCTACATGACGTCGAAGATGAATACCATTTCATTTTAATTTGTCCTTGTTATATTGATATAAGAAAAAAATATATAAAAAGATACTATTATATAAGACCTAGTATGTTTAAATTCACTGATATGTTAAAATCAAACAATAGAAGTATACTTTTAAATTTATCCTTGTATGTACGAGATGCGATGTCTCATAGAAATAATTTAGATATAGTAGATACAACTTAATATATTAATAATTCATCCTCTATATTGATATGAAAGAGACATGTTTAGATCCGATCTTGTGATTTATGTTAGTATGTATTGTAAAATTGTTTATTTATGTATGACGATGTATGATTGTACAAGTCAAAAATAAAGTATCTGTTCTGTTCTGTTCTGTACTAAAAGATATACATTTTTAAACGTACGTAGCTGTTAATACTTGAAAGAAGAAAAAGTGCTTGTTTTGTGTGTTAACCCATTACTTCATATACACGCCTTTTAACGCCTTTTTCACCCCCCCCCCCTTTTTGTTGTCTCAAATGATGAAAAAATGCCTTATTTAGGCCCCAAACAAAAACAAGTGAAAATTTTGGACTTGTGAGAGGCTGTAAATGACCCCAGATTGATCATAAGGTAACGTGTAACCAACGCTGAAAAGCATTTGACTCTATCTCAATCCATTGAGAAGTTGCAGCACTTTGAAATCAATTTTGATGGAAAAAATCAACGCAAAATAGTGATTTTTGGCAATTTTGAGATGTCCCCTCGTTGCCATGGTAACAGAAAATTTAAGCCTGAGCATGTTGTTGCAAGGGCAATGGTCCAGTCAACATTTGTGCCAAGTTTGATTAGTGTTGAAGCAGTTTTTATAGTATTATAGCAATTTGAACTTGTAACGGGAGACTTTTCAATGAAAACAGCCATTTTTCACAAAATGCTCATGAAGCAATGGGTTAAGAAAACTTAAAAAGGAAGTTGAAATATATTATTATTATTATTATTATTATTATTATTATTATTATTATTATCATTATTATTAGTATTATTATTATCAATTAATTGAAATTCATCTAGATAGCATGTATAAAAAATATTCAATTAATGAATTAAAGACATAAATATTTTCATTTACTTACAAGTTGGGCACAGCTGCCACGCCTCCCGCAACAAAAGTCCCTACTACTATAAGTAAGCATACATCCATCGCGAAATGCAAGTTTTTAATTTTTGGTTTGCGAAAGAAGCCTTTTATAGCGCGTTTTCCCCCACTGCGTCAGTTTTTTCTTTTCAAATTTTAACCACTGCCGTTTCTATTTTTCAACAACTAAGCATGATCCATTCTCACTTGAATAATTACAAGTCAATTTCATTTGAATATTCACATCCTAGCATACTTTGGATTGTTTATCAGGTAGTAGATCACTTTGAAAACATTGAAAAAATTAACAACACTTTGTACGGTCGATAAAATCTCGCTGACGCAAGTTAATATATATCAAATCGCTGACTTGCACTTTTACTAGTTTTGGTTGGATAAATTGAATGTAACCATGATTGGCTGATTGCTAATATATATCAAATCGCTGACTCGCATTTTTACTAGTTTTGATGTTAAATTGAATGTAACCATGATTGGCTGATTGCATGAAACGTCACGGTACCAAATCTATTAACATCCGTGATTGACTAATGTTTAGTATATACATTACAAACACATACCAAGGTAAACAACAAAGCTATCACACAAATGCAACTCTACTTTCTTTCAACAATTTGCAGCTGTTAATATTTCAATAAACAAACATTTATATAAAAAGTGCTTGTTTTAGGAAATCATTCGACAATAACTTTATATCTCAGGGATGACATGCTTGTTAATAATCATACTTTAATAAAGTCAATTTGAATGAAGAAGTAATCTTGCCCTGCAATAAAACAAAATATTTTGGCCTATCCTACTAAATCGTTTAACCAAAAAACTGCGTAAATATATATGACTAAAAAGATATACATTTTTAAACGTACGTAGCTGTTAATACTTGAAAGAAAAGTGTTTGTTTTGTGTGTTAAGAAAACTTAAAAAGGAAGTTGAAATATATTTCAATAACGTCAATTTGATGTAGGAAGTAATCTTGCCCTACAATGAAACAAAGTATTTTGACCTAACCTACTTGACTGTTTAGCCAAAAACTGCTAAAATACAAATGTGGTATACATTATTGAACATATGCTATTTGCAATTTTGCACATGAACTGGACATGAGATATGATAACATTTAAATCGAATTGTCCCATACAAAAATATTTTGAAAGAGGTATTGCAACATTTCCAAATGAAAAATACTGAGCTTTGTACAATGTTATCGAACTGGAAAGCGAATAATGTATAAAATACAATTCACTATTTACGTATTAGGAAGCAATTATGAATCAAAGCATTTATTCCATTCACACATATACAGGTACAAATATGTGTAATAATTGCTCCTTATACAGTTTAAGTTTCTTCTATGAGAATTTTGTAAATGCAACCATAATAAAATGCACATCTCTTGGTTTAAATTAATACAATTTTATGGAAGCTGAAATGTCGATTGATTCATGACATAATTATTTAAATCAAAGGGCTGCAAGCTCTGTAGTAGTATTTTCTGATCTTTGCAATCTAAATCGTACTGTATATCTGTATGTATTTTCCTGTTATTTTTATGTACTATAATTGACATTACGCCAAAGAAGAGATTGCTCCGCCCACTGATTCACGTGACCCGGTCATTCAGAACCTTAGACAAAAGACGGTACCAACGTTTACGCGAAACTGTCATGCCACTTAAGTGACTAATGAATTTACCTTATATCATTTGTTATATATAAAATTTTAATGCTTTTATTGAATAGTTAAATGTATTATGGTATTTCAAAAAGTAACAAATAACTGCATTCATGATGAATAAAACGTTTGGCAAAGATCTTGTTATATTTCTCATTGACTTCAAGGAAGATGTTACTGACAAAATATCATTTTAGTTTACAAATTCAAAGATAGTTAAAATTGATGTAGTGGAACATATAATAGTAAAATTATATCAGTGAAACAGTAACATTTACAAATGTTTTTGGGGATTTATGTGCGAAATCACTTATATATAATGCATTTGCGCATAAATTATCAAAATTAATTGAGAAAATTGCCCTTGCGTAACTTTATTGTATGATATATGATTATATGTTTATTTGTACATTAGATATTTTCGTGATAAAACGCAATATTATTCACTTCAAAATAAATTTCACATAATTATACCATACCTCAACTTTAAATTAAAACCGTGATCAGATATGATGTTATTGAAGCAGATGTATTTAAATAGTTAATCTTTAATCTTAATTCATTGAGCTTTAATAGAAATATTGTTTGATTTTATTAACCTGTCAATTGCATACTGATTACACAGTCAATGCACACAATATATTAATCTTCGATAATTGATCGGTAAACTTCGTGAGATGTACCCAGTAAGATTTGATTAGTTTTTTTTCTATGAAATAGCTATACTGACCGTTATAGCGCAATAGGATAAACTTCCCATGTGTTGTAAGATCTAGACCGCGATTGTCTATGTTTTTTTTTCTTATTTATATTTTCCACATTATTGAAGGTATGACTGGGGTTTTAAAGTTGTTCATTTTGTTTTTTAAATTTTTGCACTTATTTTGGCAAAGACCATACACTTTTTGAATAGCATTGATTAAGAATTAAAATTTCAATGTCATAAAACTCAATACGAAAGAGACAAATCTGTGCTTCTAAGTTGTTCCATATCCATTTAGACTATTTTACAAGCCCTATTCATGAAAACATAGTTCAAAAATAAAGAAAGAATGGGTCAAAAGAACAATGGCAAAAGTATGGATCGAACCACAGACCTCTAATACATGAGGTAATTACTCAACCGACTGTTCTATAGCGGATATGACCAGAATACAAACATTCAGATAGTGTATCTTTTCAAAACATTAGTCATATACTCCAATTTAATTCTCGTAATCTTAACGGACAGAAACGAAGTGGTATCGAATATTTAGATGAGTGCTATAATGTATTCAGAATTGACAGGTCAATAAAATCAGACTATATTTAGGTAGAATAATTTCACCTGAAAGATTTATTGCATTCTTTTTTCATTTTATTTGCAAGTACTTTTTTCTACTGCAGCATTTTATTGACAATATGTTATAAACGAACAAAAAATGTCATATCTTCTGGATATTCCGAGACCTTATAATATATTATGTGATTATGAATAGACATTATTGTAATGAAGGAAGGAATAGAGTATTTGTTTAAACTTTTTCCTTGTTTAATGCAATGTGGTATAGCCAGTTTTAACTTTCCTACCTGCTATATAACTTATTATCTTCATATAATTATAGAAAGTTACTGATATTTTTGTTTTTTGTAAAATGAACTTACAGGCTCCATCTGTCAATATGTCAGGATATTTTTTAACTTAGATATACCGTTTTAATAGCTTTAAATTGACAAAACAATCAAAATTTCAACTACTGCACCATTGTCTTATACACATAACTTGTCTAAGGAAAATGGCGGACTTCTCAGACATCTTAGCATGAAACTGATAATGATCGCCGACTGGCTTATCTGTAAGACCCCTGCCAGCTTGATTGACATGCGGCGTAATGTCAATTCATCTTGCAGGGCACCAGAGTTTGATACATACGGAATTTTGCATAACTAGAGTTGCATCAAAAAATCATTTATGTTCATGTATTATGACAGCCACACTTTATCCTCATGGCTTCTTCCTTAACAAAGACACTTAAAATTTAAAAAAAAAATAGTTGCCTCGACTGGGATTTGAACCCCAGACCTCTCTCATACTAAAAGACCGCGGAGAAGTTATACGAACAAAGCCTGAATAAAATCAAGTAACTCTAAATTTAGAATTTCAATTGCATTTCGGGTTTGTAATCCTTATTAATTTCGAGAAATTTTGTTCACGATAAACCTGTTGTTTAAAATTTATGTAAATAATTTAGCGAAAATCTTCTCGCCAAAACAGTACGACATGTGGAATCTATATATTACACTACTCGACAGTCAGATTTATTTGTGTAGTATCCGGTAATCGACATCGCTAAAAATAGCATTATCATTAAAATCATATTCATCCGCGTAATTTGTGATTGTGCATTTATTGACAAGTCTATAAGCCAACGCTACTTTTAAACTTTGAATGTGTTGTATTTTGTTGGATACTTGTAACAAAATAAAAATATCTATTTCTTTTCAATCGCTAATTTTAAGCTGTTTTGAGAACTACTTGTTGTTAGGTTTGTCGTTAACCGCTTTGTCAGAGATTGAATGTCAGCTTTGTATTTCCTAATCTTCGATCAGAAAATACAAAAACTGTCATCTAGAGTGGACATGATTCAGTTATATTCGTGCTAGATGATACCGGTGTATTCTGAAAAAAAGTGAATCATTTCCTTGAATTATAAATAAAACACTTTGTAATGCAAAAAGGAATATATACATGCATAAAAGCGTGTGTAATACAATTATCAAAATAAATCTAATATTCTTCCTTCCTTAATCACATACATGTAGCTACGTTTCCTTTAGCAGTTATTTGGCGACAAATCACATCACCCTGTAGTTAGCAGTGGAATGTCCACGGGATGCATGGTCGCCAACAACCCATTTACTGCTCCTTACTACGCCGGAGTTAGTTGTTATTGTAAACAACCAGGTGAGCTTATTAGATGTGACATCAAACTTGTATTCGTTGCCATTTGGTTTAAGAAGCACAGAACGTATGCGTTGGGCTCCGAAATCTGGTTTTGAACCATCAAATACAATGTTGTTAGCTTCCATAAAAGTGAACTCCCAACCAGAGCATCGGATATCAGCTCCATTCTGAAAGAGGTGTGTTTGGACTTAAAATGACTTTATCGTGGGCAATCGTTGTTCATATTTTATACGTTACATACATTGAATATAACGGGGATGTAATCAAGGCAAAAAAGAAAATTTAAAAAGTCCTTAATCGTGTTTATCAATACATGTACAACAATGTATTTAATTTAATGCTATTTATTAGTTTTTCATCGACCATATCGTTTTAATTTTTATTTATATTGATATCTGGAAAAAAGTGATCCCTCTGATGCAGTAAAAACAGCAAAAATACTTGAAAATTGCAGACTCGGCTTGATTGAGTCTGTACATAAGGGACAATGAAAAGTACAACATCCCTCACGCCCCACAGCGATACTCAATTCTCAAAAGTTTAAAGTGCTTAACTCAATGATTCCGAAGAACCAGAGAAATATAACAACACTGAAGTGAAGTACGGAGCAACTTTTTCTAATTAAAAGTATAAAAGAGTTTATATTTCAAACATGTTTTCAATTACCCAGTCCGTACCTTTATTTCCTTTGCCAGGTGCTCTTTAGAGCCAATGTTTACTGAACTGGGTCCAACATCAAGTACCATATTCCATTATCGACTGTCATCAAACCACTTCATAA